AAATGGGAAGCTGATTGGTTGTGTGTAGGATGGACGACAGGGAATGGCGCCGAGTGGGCCGAGGGGCGGCGGGTACTCTGTATGTCCACTCGTGTTTCGATGCTGAGTCGACTTGAACTGATGCCCACGTAGAACAACCAAGGACGCGGCGGACCTCCGCAGCCCGAGCCGATGGACTACGAGCCAACATACGAACCCCACCACAACGAACGTCTCTCGCCTTCTGTAAACCGTCGAGAGAATCAGCACCAGTACCAGCAAACTTCGAACTCGAATGGGAACGCGAACGGAAATGGAAATGCAGTAGAGACTGGCACGCGCCCGCCTCGTCTTCGTGTACGTCGTTCATACTCGAATATATGAAGTGGATAAATAAACTGATTGGCTAATCGTAGCCGCAGCAAAATCGGTACGGAACGTCGAACGATCTGTCAGCCGGTCCACCTCCACCTCAACGCGCCTCTCGCTCGCCGGTCGTCACTCGCGATGCAGCTCCAGCGTATCTCACAACCGAGTCAGAGCCAGTACAGAACCAAAACCCGGGTTGGGCCATGTCTGGCCGTGGGCCGGGATGGGCCAAGCGCGAGCAGCAGGAAGAACATATTCCTCGTGTGGGCGAGGCGTACGATGATATGCAGGCTGGCGCGCAACCGTCTAGCGTACGCGGTGGAGCGAGCGCTTACAACCACTCCGTCGAGCCACCGAGGGAGCAGCAGCCGCACTCTGGACAGTTCGATACCGGTAGGCGTGGAGGCGGTTACGGTGGTGCGCCGAGGGAAGATAGAGGGTACCAGGCTAGGGAGGAACGGGCACCGTATCATGCTCCCCGCGAGGAACGTGGTGCGCCGTTCGAGCACGATCGTCCGACGAGACGTGGTGGTGGTGGTGGTGGTGGTGGACCTTCGCATTCGATTGGCGACTCGTATAGGCCCCCACCGCCACCGCAGCCTGAGCAGTTCGTGGACCGTGGTGCGCCGTTCAATACCGGGCCTGAGCGCAGGCGTGGCGCACCCTACAACGAGCGAGGAGCGCGGAACGGCGAGCGTCGTGCGCGGAACGATGATCGTGGTGCTACGTTCAACGGGAATGGTCCTGCCAGACCCGACGAGCGTGCGCAGGCTCCTCCGGCGTCGTTTGGGAGTATGCTTATGCGTCCTGTGGCTGAGCCTGCTCCTGAGCCGAGGGCGCTGATGGAGAGGATCGAGATGCCGAGCTTGCAGGAGAGGATCGCGAGTGCGCCGCCGCCTGCTGCGTCGAGGGAGTATGAGGCTCCGGGAGGGTATGGTGGTGGAAGTGGTGGAGGGTCGTACGAGGGTAGAGGCAGGGGACGCGGGAGGGGGAGAGGGAGAGGACGTGGACGTGGGAGGGGTGGATATGGTGGTGGTGGGGAGTATGGAGGGCAGTACGATGATAGGCGCTGAATTGAGCGTGGTGGAGACGCAATGGACTTGATATTTCTTGGATGCTTGTTATAATAAGGCGAACGAACGTCGATGCTAGGGGATGGTGGATATGATACCTGTTATATAGCTCGTTCGCATCTAGTTGCGCGCCTCTGCTGGGTCGGGGTTTGCACTGAAATCACACAATGCTACGGTCTGCTTCTTGATCTCATTTGTGTGGGATGTGTGATGGAAGTGACGATGAAAGGCAACTTGAATAGGGTAAATGTACAGACAAGACGTACAGTGATGGGGTGGGATGAAGGTAGTCCAGTGGATATGCGGGTAGCGAGCCGGGGTAATACGATAGCGAATGTCCGAAAATAATGTCCTATCAGTCCGGAGTCCGTTTCATATCATATCATGCAGCGTACGACGAGCCACGGAAACATCGGCCGCGGATAAAATCAAGAGCTGGAACTTCAGTGCGCTTCGCGAGCGCAGTCTTAGAACCATCCCTCAGTGTCCTCGTTAGACTCGGAACTGACAGCTGGAACCTTGTCTACTTGTACATCAGGGACTAGTTGAGCGATGATAGTATCCTCGCTCTCCTTGATATCTTCAAGAGTGTTCAAGAGCATTCGGACGAGGCATGCGAGCCGGCGCTCCTGGGCGGCCTCCCGTTCAAGGTTGAGTACGGTCAATGTCTGCGCGTTGGTGCTCGGCTCGTCGTGGGGTTGCGTGCTCGAGGGAGGCGTGAGGGCGGGGCATGGTTTGCTGTCGACTTCAATGCTGATACCGACAGAGGAGTCCGGACGATCTTTGTCAAGATCGTCGTCGTACTCGAGGCTGTATCCAACATCCTTGGCGCTAGAGCGTCCTGGCACGACCACATCCGAAATGTCGTGCCCAGCAGTGACACGGTATTTCCGCGACAATGGATCGTCTGGATCGTCTGGCAAGTCCTCAACAATACGCACGGCGTCCGCGACTCCGACTCGGAACGTCTGCCGCTCAAAAGCAAGCTCTATGCCTACAGTGCCGTGCCCGATGAGTGAATCCTCACAAAGTTACAGTAGAGACTCACGTACCGCTTAGACTGCTAGCATTTCCACCCGTCTCGTAGATTACGGTGTATCCGGAGTCGCTCCCTGTCATGACTTGAGAGGGCTGGTGGGGCACTGAGGAAGTACGGATGCTGAGGCGCAGGCTTTATGTGTCCGCTCAAAGCGTCCGCATGCGCACCCATGGACCTGTACGACAAAGGGAGGTAGTGGAGCACAAAGCACACGAGATGCGAGTTGTGCACAAGTCACAGCTGGAGTCATAGTTGTTGCTACAGCAACCAGTAGGTCAATGCGACAATGGACAATGCGAACGCCCTGAACACGCGGCGAAGGGGCTGTGAATTCACAACGATAGACATGACCGCTTACAACATTAGCTGGAATATATATGTATGAAGAAACTGCGGAGCAGGATACTATACCTTGGAGACATAGGTCCTATTATTTGACGTTGCTCACAGGCTGACATGCAGAGCGCGCGAATATAGAGCATTATACAGGCGATGATAGCACTAGTCATGGAGCAATAGATGTCCGGCATAGTGTTTACAGTTATGGAGGTAACCGCGAAGTTGGCTACATGGCCATGGTGGACGAAGACAAACACTGAGCAGAACGAACGAAGCGCTGAAGGTGACGGGAGGCTAAGGTTAAGGTTAAGGTTGAAGACAGCACCTTGATTCATGGCACGCCTGGGTACTTCACGCGCACGCCACCTACAGCGCCGATTATCAGACCCACCCGCTAGCATCAGACGGTGCATGTTCGAAGTTACGAGATCGTTCCTTATGAAGCATCTACTACTGAGTTCACACAGGTCTTGTACTAAGCTTGGGAATTGTCCGGAATGCAACTTTCAGTCAATCACAACTCTGATAATGCATCATATCCCAAAGTTGTCCTTGAACCGCGTTAAACCTGGCGCGCTGCGCTTGACCGGCTACCTGAAGCTAATGGGCGTAACTACGGCCCGGCGCATTCGCGAGGCGATGCTGCGACTCCGTACGCCGGGGTTGTACAGGCAGTCCTCCTAGACGCCGGTGATCATGATTGGCTTTGATGACAATATCGTCAAGGGACTTCTGGGCTAAATATCATGCTAAGCGTCGAGTTGTGCCTACGCCCAAAGACTACTCACCAGACTCGTATTCGTGGGTCAAGTAAACGTAAACGGCCGATTTGAAGTTGTCCAAGGCCTGACAAACCTCAACGAACTTCGCCGACGCTTCGCCTGAGTATTCTAGCCCGGGTATTTGGCCAACACATGCATCGAATCTTGCCCTGAGGTTCTTCCATCTGGCTTCGATGACAGCCAAACTGTTCTCAAGTTGTTTGGCGCTGAAATCATGTTGCATTCCAGCATCCAGTCGCGGTACGGGATGCTGCACTTTGATCGGAGTCAGGGGAATACCATTCGGTACTGGCAACGGTGGTGACGCGCGATGTGCCCGTGGGGTCGTAGGATATTGGGTGGGCGACTTCTCGTCGCCTATGAATGTCGATGTCTCCACTCCGCAGGATACCAATCGTGGTCGAGGGGTACTGGCGAGCATTTCCTTGTCTACTTCAATCTCGTGTGCCATTTCCTTGTATCCCGGATTGTCTGCGCCTGTCATCCCCAGGCTTAGTGATGATCGGACGGCGGGCGCGAGAGCGACTCACCCTGTATATCATGCTGGGGACGGATCTGTGAAGACGGTGGTGCAACAGGCCCCGTCCTTTCTGCTTTCACCTTCCGCCGCATCTCCCCGTACACCAACTCTATCGAAGTCAATACGATAAGTATCGTCGAGCTGAGTTCACCAAAGACGTCTTACCTATCGTCGATGACTCGTGGGAATCCATTCGTAGACGAGGGGTAGTAAGTGACACTGCCCGTTGCACCTCGATGTCGCGCCATAGCTCATCGTACTCCAGACCTTATACGGGTCATCGATGATTATCGGAAGAGTGGCGAGCAAAAAAGCGTACCATATTCATCCAAGCTGAGAATAAGTGACTTGCCTGTGCTCCCGTTGTGCATCCTCAGGTAGGGCGGATGAAGCACTGGGGAAGAAAGTACCACCTATAGGCAGGCTTTTATGGGTGTGCACCGAGCGCGCTAGCACTTGTGCACATAGACCCCCACAACAAGGGCAATAACAATACACAAAGCACGCGGAGGGTAACATTGTCCAGAGGCTACAGCCAGAGTCAAAGCCGTCGCTATGCGAACTGTATTAGAACAAAGCAACAACGAAGAGTGTGTGAGCGCGCTGTCGACGGGATGCACATAACCCGGAGTCCAGGTTACAAACCGTCACAGAGACCTCGCTTCCCAGCAGTAGCCTTGCAACTCCAGACCATCTGGTGTGTTCATCCTTGACCATTGATCCACACAACGTTTCGCGCGCAATGACAAGGAGAGACCCTGGTGGCTGTTCATCCGGTCCCTCTGCCCGTACTTGGACGATGGCGGTGACAGGAAAGGCTGAGAATGGTCGTGCGTGGACAGCTGATGAGCTGGCAGTAGTATGCATAATAGAATGTTTTTCCTGCTCTTCATTCACAAGGCGACATGGCCGAGCGGTCTAAGGCGCTAGAATCAGGCTTTAATCCTTCATCTAGTCCGAAAGGGCGCGAGTTCGAATCTCGCTGTCGTCATTTTGCTCTCCTTGCATCTGAAAACTCAAGGAGCCAGCAGATTCAGATGCCTCATTTTACGAGACAGCACTTAGGAGGAAGACGGCAAGAGCCGAGCCGCGCCGACGAGGCACGAAACGACGCGTCTCACACGCGATCACGCCTGTTTCGAACCACCAGCTAGCACTAGGCATCCTATGCCATCGATTGCTCAATCGCATAACAGCAATCGACTATCACAACCTATCATGACCAGTATTCTGTCTAGTGTCAACACCTCGTCGTCTTCGCACAAGAAGCTGAAGCGGTCTGGGTCCAAGAGTATCAAGTCGAGCTCGAGCCGCTCATCGCACACCCCGCGTCCGGAACGCCCCCGCTCTACTATCGCATCCCCTCAATCTGGCTACTTCCCGCCTTTAAACGTACAAGGAACTAGGCACCGCACGACTTCTCTCGTTTCTCCTGCGCCTGTGTACGCAGTACCGTCAAACGGTCCCCATTCCCTCCCCCTCGCTCGCGAGGCATCCTACGAATCGGCATATGCATCTTCTAGTTCGCATGGTTCAGCGAATGTGCAACCTATGCAGGCTCGCCGATCTACCGCGGATCCTTACCGCTCATCAATGGCCAACCTATCCTCGCGTTCCGTGGAATTTGTCGATCTGGTCGGTCAAGCCGCGCATAGCTCGCGCAGCTCCCTCCGCTATTCTGTTGAGCTCCCGACTGTGAGCGCATCCCCGGACATAGGTCCGGACGTGCTTGAACCGCCTTCATCGCGCTCGTCATCTGCAAGCGATGACGTCCGACCGCAACGGCCGCCTCGCGACCGGCACGTATCGTGGCCGGCAGGCTCCAACGAGAAGCAAGGTCTTGGACATGGTCTGCAACTCGTACAAGTAGACATACAACGGAAGACGGAGCGCAGTCGTCCAACCCCTGAGCGGGAACAGGACGCAAACACTCAAGGTAATCAAGCTTCTCTATCTGTATTAGGCATACGCTGATCCCAACTTCGATTCTCAGTTCAGGTCATGCACGCGGAGTTGCAGCGTTATCTCGCCGAACAACGCCTGCAGGACTCGAGTGATCGCGAACGTGCGTTGAAGGAAGAGGTGGAACGGCTACGCCGTGAAGTACAGACGCAGATCGATGCTCGGCGGGAGCTTGAAGATCGGCACGAAACACGCGTGCGAGATCTTGAAGAGCGGCATGCGCGGGCGCTTGCCGCTACGGATGAGCGCGCCGAACGGCGCGTAAAGGAGGCTGAACGTCACGCTGCTTCCCGTGAACTACTTCTACGGGAAGCTCGCGAGCAAGCCGAGCGTATGCTTGAGCGCGGCGTGGCGGAGGCTCGGGCGGAGGCGCGGGAAGCTGTTGCTAAAGCCGAGATAAGCCAGGAGAGGGCTTGGGCGCTGCTTGAGCAGATGCAGAGCTCCGCGAGTGCGTCGCCGACGGCGACGAAGTCAAGGAGATGGTAATTTTTTGTGAGCTATGTACATCTACCACTGGGGGTTTATCTTGTTTTGTTTTGTATATGTAGTATCATGATGTTTTCTTGTCTTTTACTCCAGTACATCTGTACCATACATCATACATCACTTCTTGAGACGTCGGCAGCGAGCCTTGTGATCGTTGAGCTTCCAATCACTGTAGTTCTGTCGTCAGCATGTAGTTGCAAGTCGACGACGATGGTATATTCACCCACCTCATTTGGCATTGCTTGCTACAGTAACGAGCATCTGAGCATCCTGCGCACGCTTTAAGCGCATGTGGAGGTTCCTGATCATGGTACGGACATAGTGGCCATGCGCAAAACGCCTGCGTCGTAGAGCCAATCTGAGGACCTTCCACCTGACGAGGTGCGCGTCTCGGGTCGAGTTGTAATGCTGCTCCAAGACGCCTCCAAAGCTTCGCGAGTTCCTTCTTCCGATAGCCAATCTTGTATCCCCGCGACGGTAAAGCCAGTATCACTGCATTGAAGCGATGCCAATAGGGCGAGACTTCCGCCCTCAGGGCATTCATTACGCCATGCCCACTAGAATTCACTGTGCAGTCTTTGTATAACTCCGCGGCAGAGGCGACAAGATGCACGAGGCCGAGCTCAGGCAACCCGTCATCGGGGTCCATCGAGTTTTCGGATGTCCACAGAAGGTTTTCTAGCCCCATCCGCAGAGCAGGTAGCAGAAAATCGCGCATGAGATGCTCCTCCTCGACGAGTTCTCCCGTTATCCTTGGGAGTTGTATTTCATCAAAGCCCGCCTGTACAAGTGCGTTGCTATAACACAGAAGTGAGCGTCTCTTCGCTACGCACACATCTCTATCGACTTACAGAGTGAATGCAGCAAACGCACGTGCATCATCGAGTTCCCATTGTCCATCAGCTTGCTGCCGACGGGTTGCCTGTAAATATAAAGGCAGAATACCAGAGCTCGCAAGTTCAGAGACTAATAATGGGCCACCAGCATAGCGGTTGACATGCTTCAGAATCAAACTCAAACGGACATGCGGCAATAATGTCGAGTGGTCATTGAGCATTTCTTGAAAGCGTTCAAGCAGAGCGTTCTTTCCATAGATTTCAATAGCTTGGCTCATGATCTCGGTGTGATGCTTGGATAAGGCTTGACCGGAGAGTGTGATCGAGGCGTCGATGCCGATGCTGTCCATCGCATGCATAGCGGTAAGGTATACAGAACTGTCTGCCATTCTGCTTTGCTTCATCCAGAGGAAGAAGAATAGCCAGTAAGTGTTTGAGGTACCCCAAGCAGGAAAACAATTGCTGGACCAAAGTTAATAAAGGTTGAAGACAGGAAAGACGACAGGAATGAACTAACTGGGCGATGCACATACCAGTCCAAGCTTGCGACAAGACACCAAAATGCCGCCTCACTGAGGAGAAGCACTGAACAAGGTCGCGAGACAGATAGATGTTATTCCAGACCTGTTCCAAGCATGTAGCAAGTTTTCGTATGTTTTGGGCACGTTTCGGGTCAGTCGACCTCGCGGATCGGATAGACTTCGAGACTTCGTATAGAACTTGATGTAGCACAAAGACAAAATCCAGCGTAACTAGCTGATGCAGTACATGGTCAAATCGTTATTCACAATCTCTACGGCATCTCAAACAAACTTACCGGCTGTTCTAACACCTGATTTTGGGATAGTTGGATACAGCAGAGTTCGAAGGTCTCCCATATAAACGTCTGTTGATCTTCCTGGCCGAGTGCGCAATAATGTATCGAGGTGGACATGTTCGATGGTTTCCAGGCGTCCAGGCCAGGACCAGGTGTAGTCACGACGCTCTTCATTTCAGCCATCGCAAAGTGTAAGTCTGCGTTGAACTCTCCATCCACGCCACGAGCCACGGCAGACTGAGCGAACGAAAGCAAACGGAGAGGATTGCTCGCTGTGATGCCGGCCTTGCGAGCAGCGTCCGCTGCACGCTCGAGTACGTTCGAATTCTCCGGCGGATCACCCCAAATCAGGAGAGGGCCTCCATTCGGACCAGAGCGTCTCGCTGTGGTATCGGCCGGCGTGACAGAGGCCAGTGGCTGGCTTGTTTGCGTATAGTCACAGTGGAACATGCTGAACGAGCCGTCGATGGGCGTGCTGAATCAAGAAACGAGATGGACGTTTGGGAGAAGAAGCTCACGTGTACCGTCACGCGCGCCTACGGCTTCGTGACTACAACATGCCACAGTGATCCGTGAGAACGACATGCATTACTTAGGTAGGGGCATAACCTTCGTGCTCATACGTAGAGCTTAGCTGGCAGCGGTAACAAGCATTGTATTACGACCAGCTCACAGCGAGGTGGTGGTGTTGATGATCCATGAACGCATGACTGCGCGAGAAAATGGTGCGCAGGGAGGCGCAGGGGCGCGCTGGATCGCGTCAAAACCCGGTTTTTAATTTTGTAGCCATATTAGGAATAGGAAAAGAGTTAATAGAAGAGCGCATCGAGGTTCGACTCATGTCCTCTGCAAACTCATCGGGCCACATCGCATGTGGATACATTGGGCGAATCAGAACAAGTAGGTAAGAAGACAGCACATCCTCCGCCTCGGGCTTGGGATGAGTACAAATTGTAGGGACCTGACAATCACGCCGCCAACCAATTGGATGTCAGGGTACTAGGACGCCATGCCGGAGCTCTGAAGCTCAACTATGTATATTTCAGCTAGAGAAAAGGACAGACTGGGAAAATAGCTCACGTTCTTCCCATATCTGGTTTATCTGGGCGCGAGTGAGGTTCATGTCTTCTGCGAGCTCGAGAACAGCACACGTGTTCTCGGCCACAGACATCCCTCCATCTACCAAGTCGAGCTGCTCATCAAAGTCCGCCTCCATGATAACTTCAGCGATGGATTGCAAGAGTTCCAGAGTATCGTCGGAGGCGCAATTCGGGTGTTGGCTATCCAGGTAATCGAAGAAAGCCCAGAGTACTAACAAACCCCCGTCAGTTGGAGGTACGAGCTGGCAGACGAAACTGCCGACTAACACGCTCTCATGGACGATATGACATCTTGCAGATCTTGAACGACGCCTTCTATGCACTTGCCGTTCCGTGCAGGCGAAGGTTGTTCACCTCGAGTCGAGGCAGCGTGGAGGCCCTGAAGGTCGTGCTCGACTGAAGGAAAACTTAGCAATGAGACACCGCAAAACCAGCTCCAAGACGTACCTCTACAGGACTTGAAATCAATGATCCGCTTCCACCTAGCCAACCGCTGGAAAGCACTCGTTCTCTGCTGCCGGCGCTGCCGACGAGCTTCGAAGTCTTCTTCGCTCAACGCCAACGGAGAACTACCCGAACCACGATGCTGGAATGCCTCAGTACGAGGTCGCGTTCCGCGTTTGGACCTGCAGACGCATGAGAAGACATATCAACGCTCAGATGTCAATCGGCTTACTTAGACGATAAGCCCATTTTATGGTCCAGTCTCTCCCGTAGCGTACGCGGTAGATGGGGCAGCATATGACGAGGAATCGCAGGGAGTACCCGTTCGGGCATATCTCGAAGAATG